GGTCGCAAGCTTGCAACCTTAAGGTTGATGCACCGTAGATGTGCATAAAACTGTGTCGCCCTCCGCATCATTGCAGCCATCGATGCCCTCAAACTAAGCGCCAGGGATGCCTTCTATCTTGCAGGGCGGCGCCGCCATTGCTGCAGGAAAGCACACGTTGCAAGTATTGCAGATGAATCATGCAAAGGTTGCACATACACGTTTGTGCAGCCCATGCTTGCAGCATTCGAGTTGCGCTTGTGCCTCTTCGCAAGATCCGAGCACCGTGTGACTGAGCAGCTACCCGACAACGGCGTTCAAGCGGCTGACAACAGTGATGGCATTGGTGCGTTCACAGGTCAATATCAGAATATCATAACTGCAACCTTTACCAACATTGTGCTGTTGCATTGCTTTACAAGGTAAACCGACCAGTGGGAAGCAAGGGCTGCGGCAAAACCCGCGCTTGGCTGGAAGAAAACAGCTTTCTGATGTGTGCTTGCTTGCAGCCGTGTTGTCGAGTGGGTGTATATGGGTTTAGTACGCGGGTGTGGCAGGGAGTCGCACGGCCACGCCCGCATGCGAGTCACTCTAGATTGGGCATCCATGCCATGCACTACGGCAAATGCAGCTTGCAGCAGGCCAATGCAAGGCGGCCCGCGGAATTCTGTGAGTAGGGTTGAAGGTGGGTTGTGTCTCGCAGCGCATAGTGTGCCAGCAGCTTCCAACCCCACCACGCACCGACACAGCTGCGCCCAGGGCAATAAGAATGCCTGGCAGGCGGAACCGGCAGCCCACCAAACCGTCATCGACTGTATGAAATTGTCCAACCGATCAGTGAAACTACAACCATTAAAAAATGCGACCAGCACGCGCCCATGGTGCAGCCCATTCCTTGGTTGGCTTGGCAGGCGCCAGCCTGCTGTGCGTGGCACTTGCACATGCATGCACTGCACGAAACATGAGCATGGGTGGCATTGGTCTGAGTTGCAGCAGGCACTCCTGCAGGCAGCACGGCGCACCCACCCTCGGTGCCAGGCCACACGTTCCCCGCCAACTGCGCCCCAAAACCCGTCCCCCGCGCGCGCGGCCGGATGAAGCGGCGCGGAGGCGCAGGGATGAGCGCCCCCTAGAAGCCCTCGTCAGCTGGGCTGAAGGCGCACGCAGCCGCCGAGACTCCCTATCAAAGACAGACCACCCATGCCCCATTGACGAGGGCCCCGCCCTGCTTGCCCGGTCAGCTTCATTTGGGCCCCTTAGCTGGGGACCCCGGGGCGGGGCGCACCACGACCTCCCCGACCATTCCGCCCTCTGTGTGGCCCTTAACCGTGCAGCGCAGCGGGTAGCGGCCCGGCTTGATCGGGACGAACACCCTGGTGGTTTTGCGACGGGAGCAGGCGGGAGGCGAAGGGTCAGTGGCACCCTCGTGATTGAATGAGGGGAGCGAGGGGCAGGCGAGGGGCCAGCGAGGGGCTGCCGTCCAAGCTGTGCGCCAGGGTGCAGCGAGGCCCAGGCGTGGGCTGCAGCTGCAGTGTGGCAGCCCAGCGAAACGCAGCTGTATTGCGAGACAGCAGAACAGCCGGTTGGCAAGACCTGGCGGCCTGCGCGACGAGGCGCGCACAGCGTGCTCCGCCCCTTGTGTTGAATCAGCACGAGGCTGCCTGATCAATCAGTCTGTCCTTGCCGCTTGTGCGGCAGGACGCCGCTGCAGGGTCGAACCCTGAACCCTAAACCTTAGCACACACTGCCGTTTTGGTTCAGTGTCACGTTCTCAGAGAAAGTCCGAGCTCCTCGTAGCACCCTGCTGCCGGCTGGGATTCCTCTCACCATGTGGCCTCCGCGCCCTTCTTCAGGGCCACCTCTGAGACCGCTCCCTTGACTTCCACGCCATCGGCCAGGACCAGGATCGTGTAGGTCTGGCGAAACATGAGTCAAGGGAATGAGGAGGGGCGGCTTGTGGGCGGGTGTCTCCAGTGTGTTGGGTGCACAGGCTTAAGGGTCACTGAGATCCAATGCAAGCGGATGGGTGCTTGGCTGCTGACAGCCATGCAATGGGTCCCAGCAGCCCGCCGCACAGGGCAATTTCTGCATGTAGCCGTGCCAGCTCTTCCCTGCCGCGGCCAAAGCACATGCAGCTCAACACCCATGAGCACCTGGGCGCCGCGGCCACTAGGGAATCGCAGCACGTGGGTGACCGGGTTTCGTCAGAGGCTTGCCGCCGTGCAAGCTCAGTCAGAGTGGATAATCGAGGCAACCAGCGCCCCTACCTTGCTTGCAAACTCGAGGGCTGTGAAGTAGTGTGTCAGTGATGACGGGTTGGTCATGTGAAGCTTGTACACCCTGCAGCCAAAATTACATTTTTGGGGGCAATGCAGGGGAGGAGGCGGGCTGGTTGGGCGCAGGTAATAATGCGGCGGGGCAGGCTGAGGACGAGTTTGGTTGGGACGCCACTGCGATGGGGTGGGAGCTGGGGACGCAGTTCAGGGCTATGCGCGACGATGCTTGCTGGGTGCATGCAAGCCAGTCGCTGCATTGTATGGAGCGGAGGGGCGCCGTGGCCTGGGGCCTTCTCGCCCCTCTGCCTGCATCACGCCGCAGCCCAGCCCTGCACATCCTTTTGGCCATCCAAACCCATGGAAACAGCCCCCCCCCCTCCAAAAAAACACATCTGATGTCAACCCGACAACAGTTGTATGTTGCTCACAGGAGCAACGAGTCTTGCACACCAGTCAGAATTTGGAGGCTGCCTTCCTCTTCACACCCCTGACTTTTGATGGTGCCCGTTAGTAAGTGTCCGCACCCACCTTCCCGCCGTGAACTCAAGGGTGCTCGGCACAAACACAAGCCCCTGGTCCGAGTCCCCCATCTGCAGCTCTACAGTCTCCACCGGAGACGCGGTGGTGTTGTAGTCATCCAGGCCAGCAGTGACAGGGCCGGGTGACGCCAGGGGTGGGAGCAGGGCGAGGCCGATGGCAAGAGCTGCCAGGTCTCGGCGGCTGGTCGCCTTATGTATGGTGTTGGGATTGGGGGCGGGCGATGCCGGAGGGTTCAATGAGTTGGCGCAGTGGGTTTGATGATTGGGGGCTGCAGCTGGGGGCTTGCTTGGCCCGCGCCGTTGCTGCTGGGGTTGCGCGCGTGCGTTGTGGGCGCTGGTGGCTGCAACGTGCTGGCATCTGGCACTCAACGGCGGCCGCATGCGTCCAGAAGCCCGGGTGGGGTCCCGTGTGTGTCCTTTTTGATTTTGCCGAGCAGCAGTGCATGACTACGCACCATGCGATATGCAGCGCCCTCCGACACTACGCCGTGCAGCTGGGGTCCGGCATGTGGGGCGACACGCATGGCTTTGTGCCTGGGCGCGCTGATGCAGCGCGTTGCCCGCGGGGTGGCGCGCAGGCGCGTACCATGTGTGGAGCGCGATGTGAAGCTGTGTTCGATCATTTGAACACAGTTGGTGTGATAGCTGTATGAGGGATCGACTTGACGCCGAAACGGAACGCGCTGATCTGCTGTGATGATGGCAGCGGCTTGCAGATGCGTAGAAACAGCCGCAGGCCCACAAATAACGTTTCGATATATACGTCGTCAATGTACGTGCGGTCTTGGCTGGCACCAGTAGCTTGACATCCAGGTATCACCCGGTGGCACCGGCGATGTGGCGGCGACTCCGCCTCCAGGGGCAAAACGCCTGCTTCATGTTTTGTTGAAGGCATGACAGGCAAGCCGGTTGCTGATGAAGTACTCGAAACAGAATCAGAACATCACCAGCAAGTGCAGGGCAATGCACAAGGCACAACATTGCAGCGGTTGCCATACAATGCACGACAAAAGCAGTGGGCTTCCAACGGGCTGGGCCCCGTGGCTGGGCGCCCACAACCATAAAAGACATGTGCGATGCTCAGCTGGTGAAACCGAGCAATCGACAGCGAAATTCAGCCTTGTTACTAAGTTGAGGCGCAAGTGACATCAAGTGCCACGCCCGAGTCAAGCACACTGCTGCGCTCGCGTTGTGTGCTGCGTATACGCAACATAATCAATTTTGATTGAGTGGGGTGAGCTGGTCGAACGCCACCCCGCCATCTTACCTCCGCACCGCGGCAACCGCCGGTCCTGCAGCAGCTGTGCAGGTGGCGCCCATGCACCACTGCATCAGCAGGCGGTCTTCAAGCATGACGCAGGCCTTAAGAAAGCCAAGAACTTGGGTTGAATAGTGTTTTCATCTTGTTCAGCCTTTGTCTCGTGCAGCGAGCAACTTCAACCAACCCGCTGCCGCGTGGGCGGTGCACATCACGCCCTTTGCATCGTGAAAAATGATGTGTGATTTACAAGACAAACTAAAATAAGCATTTCACACTGCGAAATCTGCCGGTCAGCTTCAATCTATTTCCTGCTACCCGCTGGAAGAGTGGTCGTGCAGCGAGTGCATAGCACGGCGCAGCCATGTCGGATGTATCAACGCTGATGTTATGGCTGCCTCAAATAGGCACTGCTGTGGCGGCCATATTTGTCGCAGCGGTGAGCAAGCAATATCTGCACACGCACAGGCGCTTGCTTCATTGCCGCACGCGCACGGCGCTTGCTGCACACGGTTCCCGGCCAATCGCGATTGAGTTGGTCTGTTATAAACAAACCATGAATCCATTGTCAGATCGTCATCGACGGCTTCATGATCCCCCAGCGGCTGAGGCTGCACCACATCCCCGGATCAGCCCCCACGTGGCTGGTCGGCCACATCTTGGAGGTTGGTCTGTGGATGCTTTCCGGTTCTGCTGCTTTGCAACAGCACACTAATTTGTGCACAGGATCACTGCGCATGAGATGTCACAGATCAGCAGCTTGCAGGATCGCTTGCCACACGCGCCGGGTTTCAGGAGCCAAGCAGCCGCTGCTGGGGCCGTTGCGGGCGACAGCAGCACCAGATGCACGCAGCCGGGCCGGTCGCAAAGGCAAACTGCAGGATTATACAGCAAACAACTGGAAAAAAAATTCTATCAGAAAATACTGGCCCCAAATGCTTTCAACCCATGCAGGCCAAGAAGCACGACCTCTTCCTTTTTCAGATGTGGGAGGAGATGGGAGCAAAGTATGGAAAGGTGTTCAAGTGGTTTTGGGCCACACAGCCCGTCATCACCATTCGGGGTGGGCGACGGGTTGGGTCGGTGGGGAGTGTGTGAGGACGGGAGACAGACTGGTGGTTTCAGGGATGGAGGTTGTGTGCTGCTTGCTGTTGAGGGGGGGCCGATACAGTGTTGCAACCAGTCTCGCACATTTTGCTTCAACTTCTCCACACTCCACAGTCTTGCTGTAAGACCTCGGCCACCCCGCGTCCTGCTGAAATGCACTTCTATGTGCACACACAACCACACATGCTCACACGCGCGCACGCACGCACGCACACACACGCACACACACACACACACACACACACACACACACACACACGTGCGCAGACCCCGAGCTGACGCGCCTCATCTGCGTCAAGCACTTCAAGGCTTTCCCCTGCCGCTCCATGTTCTACCCGCCGCAGCCCAAAGTGTACAACGACGTCCTGTCAAGCGGGCTGGTGTTTGCCAAGTGAGGGCTGAATGTCTCTTCTCCTTATTGTTCGTGGGATGACGATTGATTGGGTCTGGTGCGGAGTGTTGCTTGTCACTTGCGCTCAGATGCTGCTTTTTGAGGTGCGGTCGCCAAATGTTGAGGGGATCTTGTTGTGATTGAAGCCTAAAGAGCCAGCCAAAGCTGGCTGCAGCGGCGACGCCATGGACTCACAATTTGAGATCCCTCAACTGCCCCACAACCCCCATGAACCGGGCCCCAGGGGCGCCTACTGGAGCAGCGTGCGCGGCGCCCTGCAGCCGCTGTTCCACGCAACAGGTCTGGCGTCGTACCACCAGATCACGGCCGGGGCGGTTGCTGAGCTGGAGGCTGACCTGGCGGCTGCGGCGAAGGAGGGGGTGTCCGTGGACGTGGCGGCGGCGATGTGCAACCTCGCGCTCAAGGTGTGCGTGGCTATCTGGTGTGTGCAAGTAGGGGCCGGGGCGCGGCTAATTTGGTGGGTCAGAGGCACAGGATGAGGGTCTGGGCAACAAGAGATGTTGTGTGTGCAGCAGGGGAGGGGTGGCTGGTTTGGTGGGTAGGTGGCTTGTTCGCTGGGTGAGTAACTTGTTGGGTGTGTTTGGTTGTGGGCAGGAGGTGTGGTCAGCGTGATAGTTGTGCAGGTCATCTCGCAGTCAGGGGTGCGAGGGCCTCGTGGCACCACACCCACACCAACCACCTGACGTGCGCTGCAGTGACGGGTGCCAAAACAAGCCTTGCCTGCGTCCCCCTCTCACGACGCGACAATCATTGGCACAAAACTTGCAAAAACCGTGCAGGTGATCGGCGAGGCCGCTTTCGGCGTCAAGTTTGACGTGTTCGAAAAGGATGCGGCGGGCCGCATCACCGAGGGGCCCATCGTGGCGGCCGCAAAGTACGTCCTGGAGAACACCGCCGCAGGTGATTCCAGTGCCGTGCAGCATCATGCAGTATCATCACTTGATCCCCAACGTGCACGGGAGTTACCAACGTGCGCCCAGATGCACCCGCACCCCTGTACCTCTGGACCCCTGACAGCCATCCTTTCCCTCCTGCCCGCTTCAAATGGGGGCGAGCCCTGCTTACCATGATCCTGCCCAGCTTGCGGGTTCATCTGCCTCTTGGCCCTCCGCAGCTGGTGTTCGATCATCCTGCCCCCCGCCCCCTCACCTGCGACTTTGCTGCACCCCTATTCCACCCAAGCCCTGACCTTCATGATCACCCCCCGCCTGCTCAAGCCCCTGGTATGGGCCCTCGTCAGGATGTTCCCCACGCCGTGAGCACTTGGGCCCGATTCCCTGATTGAGGTGGCATGTGCCTGGTGCACGATGCTGCGTGTTTTGGGCGATGGGGCGCCTGAGTGCGCGGAGTGCAACGGCTGGGGCTGCAGTGCAAGCCTCATGCGCCCCCCTGGCAGCAGCGCATGCTCGCATTTGAGGCTGTGAAATGCAAATCCTGTTGAGAGCTGCATTTCAAACTGCAAAATTCTGACGCACGGCACGCGCCCCACCGCCCGCCGCCGCAGCACCCTGGCGCGCCTCAACCTGGCGCGGTCCCAAATCTTCACGGCCGCCATCGTCCTGATCAAGAACGCCATGGCGCGGCTGGCGGCGAAGTGGGTGGACGACCTGGGCATGGAGACTGCATTTGGTGGGTAGACCCTTCGCAGTGTTGGTGAAGAGGCAAGCGCTTACAACGGTGCATTTGTGCAGCATACGTACGCGTGTGTCAGGGACACACGAGGCTCCCAAGTTTGAGCTGCACTGGCGTCAAAAGCGGGCAAACCTCAGCAAGCGCCCACACTTGCCTTGCTCAACATCCCCTAGCAAAACTCTTCTTGCAGACTCACCAACTCTCCCCTCCCCACAAACACTTGATCAACCCTCTCACGTCACCCCTTCCATCCCTCCTGATTTCAACGTGGCCCCCACAACCAGCCAACCCCTCCAGCGCCGCGCTGGCCGCCAAGTACGCCGACTCTGCCCCTGCAGAGGGCTCGGTGGTCGACTGTCTGGTGGGTCGGAAGCTGGGGGAAGCTGCTTGTGTGGGTTGCATGTTTCAGGGGTACGTGACCAGGGAGGTGACTGACCGGCGAGCGTGGGTGCACCTCAACGCAAGGTGAGGCGGCGTTCTTGACTCGGGGCCACCAGGAGAGCCGTAAATGCATTTGTGCATCAAATCAATGTATTTATCCAGTTGCGTGTGTGCATCCAGTCACATTCCACGCAGGCGCTCCGACGCCGTTGCTCTGAACCCCATCCCATCCCCCCCTTCCCGCCGGGCCCAGGTGGGCGCGCGCAACAAGGAGACAGGCGCGCCCCTGAGGGCACACCAGATTGTCGCGCAGGCCAACAGCATCATGGTATGTGGGTCCATACCTGATATCACAGACCCACATACATGCCTCTGCGTCACAGGACCCAAGAGCGTTTTTCCCATTTCACATCAAACAATCCGAATACGCTGCCGTTGGTGCTAACGCATGCAGCCAGCTTCAATGCCTTGATGATGCCGAGCGGCACGGCAGTTCGGTGGTCACAGGCTCACGAATGCCGCACGCATGCTCGGCAGGTGGCCGGCCACGACACCACCAGCTTCATGATGGCTTCCGCCCTCTACTTCCTGGCGGCAAACCCCGAGGCCAAGGCCCGGCTGGTGGCCGAGGTGGACAGCTTTGGGCGGCAGCCGCCGGAACATGATGACCTGGAGCAGTTCCCTTACGTTGAGGTGACTTCGACTTTGTTTCAGCGGGGTTGGGGAGGGGAGCTGGCCACTGTGGGCTTTGGATGAAGGGTCTTGTGGGCCATCTCGTGTTTAGCTGTCCGCTTGCCATGCTGTAGAGCTGCAGGCTGCAATTCTGCGGTTGAAACCCATCCCAAACGCCTCCCCCCAAAACATCCTATGCACACACCCTCGGTCCCTTCTTCCGCTCCCATGCACACCCTCACACCCACCCACCCCCCACTCACACACACATGCTAACAATCACACACTGCCCATGGACAATTCTGCCTGAACACACCCTGCAAACCTCACAGGCCGCACTGCAGGAGGCGCTGCGCCTCAACCCCCCCGGCTGGATGACGAGCCGGGAGTGTGTGGAGGACATCGACATCGACGGCTGGAGAATCCCCAAGGGATCTGTCGTGTATATCGATATCCACGGCATCCAGCGGTCACCAGGTGAGACGGTGGGGGTGGTGTAGATATCTCAAGGATGCTTTTTGATGTGGAAAGTGCTGTTAGGGTGTGTGCATGCCGACCGGGCTGCATGCTGAGCGGTAGCGTCAGCAGTAGTTGCAAGCCTGCGGGTGTGTGGTCGCCTGGTGTGATACAAGCTTATAGGGCTGCTTCCAGGGTGTGTTGTCCGTGCCCCAAAGTTGGTGCACCACAAGTTATCTTGGAACGTGGCTCCCTCAGCCTGCCTGCACGCCTGCATGCTTCCATCTCGCAGAGCACTGGCCCGAGCCCCTGGCCTACAGGCCCGAGCGGTTCCTGGGGGGCAGGGACGGCGAGGAGGCGCGCTCCCGCCACCCCCTCGCGCACATGCCGTTTGGGTGGGTGTATGCATGGAGCGGCGCCGCGGTGGCTATCATTGCATCAGTGGGCTTGAAGGGTCAAACAGGGCGCTGCAGGGCCACCTCGCCGCCGCACGCGCGTTCGCTTGGTTGTGGCCAGCCCATCATCGTCCGCGCTCATCCCTGCCGCGCCGTGTCAACGGTGGTGGACGCGCGTGTCAACGCGCGCGCACGCAGGGCGGGGCCGCGGCTGTGCATTGGCTACAAGCTGGCGATGCAGGTGCGGGCCGCGCGCAGTGTACATCGCGCACCCACCGCCCCCCTCCCTGCTTGGACGAAGCACAGCAACCCTCCTGCGCACCCGCCGCGGCTGATCGCCCCACCAGCTTTGCGAGCCGATGCCTGCTCTTCCTGCTTTGCTGATGCACACGCCGACCCCGCCTAAATCGTACGTTTCACAGAGCCCCATCGGCACCTGCTGACAGGCAGAAGCCCCTGCGCTCACGCCGCTGCGCACACATTGTCAAAATTCGAAACGCGCGCAGGAGGCGACGCAGACGCTGGTGCGGCTGTTCCAGCGGTTCGACTTTGAGGTCGACCCAGGGATGGCCGGGGAGGGCGGCGGCATGCCCCAGCTGCGGCCGGGGATCACATTGGGGTTCAGGGACGGGCTGTGGCTCAAAGTGCGGGAGCGGGTTTGAGTGGCAACGGAGGGCGGGGGTCGGGGTTTCGGATCCTGCACAGCCCCGTTTGTTGGGTTGTGGTGGAGCATAACCTCGTCTGTACTGTTGATATTGCTTCTGCTGAATGATCTGTTTTCTGCCGTTTTGTGATGTGGTATACGTCTGGGACGGCTGCAACCTCTTGCCCGCGTGATTGCTGCAGCATGGATGCAGTTGTACGCCGCGTGGTGCTGCGGCAGAGCGAATTTTACACAGCAGCCAGTAATGTAATGGATGGATAGTGCAGAGCATTCTGTGCCTGAATAAAATGAGGTGTGGTGGTGCTGCTACGCCTGGTGTGCACAAATCCCACCTGGTAACAGTTGTGTCCAGGCGGCACTCGCACGCAGTGGCCAGATGACCGCCGCAAACTTGGGGAACCATGGCGCTCTTGCGAGGCCGGCCACCACTGAACATGTCCTTGTGATGTCTACTGCGCCCCCCCCCCCAGCGAGCCGAAACCGGGGGGAGGGGGGGGGGGTAGCTCGTGGCTACGGGGGTATGCAACGGTCACGGGGCTATACAACTGTCAATGGGGGTTATACAGCATACCCAAAGCGTATACACAAGGTCACTGGGGTATACAGCATGCCCAAAGGGTACACATATACGCAACCGATACACATATACGCTCACCAGCTTTCGCGCCAGGTGCGATCTGATCTTTACCAGGTGTTCGTGTCAGATCATCAAATAGAGCAAGTTAAAACCAGCCACCACGTCGCATCGAGCCCAAGGGCCGCGGTGTGGCAATGGCGGATGCTGCAGCGGACATGGAGGGCCCCCAGAACGCCACACGGTTGGTTGATTATTCAACATGCATTTTTGACGTAATCTACAGGCATGGCTTGACAGCTGCTAGTGCTTGTCACTGCAGGAGCAGCAAGTATGATGATCTGCTGTGCACACCAATGGACACTAGCGCGGAGGGGGAGGCGTTCGAACGTGCAACAGTGTCTTATGAAAACAAGGTACGTGTTGGAGACTGTAGTCGAGGCACAGCTGGTTTGTTGCAGAGCAAAGCGGGAAAAGCGGCGGCAAATCACGCACAGCGCGCAATTCGCACAAGCTGACACGCGGCAGCTTCAAACCCGTCGCTATGAACTCAAGCACCACACCTGCCCCGCCACTCACCGTCTTCCGGTCCCGCACCGCACCGCACCGCAGGGCGCCCGATTTGTCATCTCGGGCCCCCGCAGCTTCCAGCGCCAGTACGCCCAGCTGTACTTCTCCCGCCTCGCGCGCCTCTCCCGTAACGCCGCCGCCGCGGCGCGCACCAAGTGGCCGGGCGTGCCGCTGGTCAAGACGCTGGGGGTGGGGGAGGACGTCGACTGCGTCGTCATCGGGACGCTGTTCAAGCAGCAGCGGCTGCGTCCGAGCGTGCTGGATGAATACACCAAAGACGGCGCCCTCAAGCAGGTGCGGGTGCGCGGCGGGCGCCGCGCCTTACGGGGGCGCCAGCTGCGCTTGCTGGCCGCACTCCCGAAGGCGCCGACGACGCTTGCTGGCCGCGCCCCCGGACGTGCCTGCGGCATTTTGCCATTCACCTCATTGCCCAAAAGCCAAAGGGTCGGCAGGAGCCTGGCGCTCTGTGGCAGCGGGTGCGTCTGTGAGCGTGGCAGCTGGGGGTCGAGCAGAGCCTGCAAGCATCAGGTGACGCCCGCCGCGTCAGCCTCGGCGCGGGTACATTCATTCATACTCAAGAGAATCCCCGTCCCTCTTCCTGCTGCGTCGTTTGATAGGCCTTGGGTCTGACAAATTTCTGCGATGCGGCCGACACGATAGTCATGGAGGACGAGGGGGCGCGGCTCGTGCTGCGCGGCGCGTCGGACGCCGCGCTGCCCGTCGGGGTACTGGTGACGGGTGAGGCACGCGGGTCGGAAGGCAAGGACGCATGCCGGCGGATTGGGAGGGCTGGGTCCCGGGGCAGCGGGGCGTGGCCGGCCCTGCGTGGCCGGGCGGCTGCTTTGGCCCGGGTTTTTGGCAGCACGGGCAGCAGTGCGGCGAGGGAGTGCTGGTTGAGGGGCGTGGCCCGGTCCCACTGGCTGTGAGGGTTGAGTTCCAAAGCGCCGGGCTGCTGGCGGCTGCATGCGCGCGCGCGGTGTGCAGCCGCCCACCTGCCCCATGGGCGCCCTCAGTACTGCGCTTCTCCCCCCCCCCTGCTCCCAGGCACCGTGGCGGCCGTACGCGGCCGGGCAGAGTCTGGCGGGGACTTTGTGGTGCGCCCCCTGACCTCACCCCCTCCCCTCCCAACCCGCTCCCTGCCC